ACAGCTTGTTACAACCTCCAGGAATGTGGCCTTTTTTAGGCTTTTCTTAAAAATCTGTAATAATTCTTCCTACTGATTTCTTCTGGCAGTGTTTTTTATAAACTTCCTATACATGGAAAATAATTTTCCTCTCCAGCTGCCCCGAAGGTCTGTAACAAAGCAGCAGTGTTACCTTTTATGACTTGAACTTAAATTCAGGTCTCAAATCTAATTTAGCTTACATTTAAATGTGTTCTACTGTGTCACCCCCAATGGTACATGGAATATTGCTTCCCTGTGCCAGTGACTTTCACTCCCTGCACACTGCAGTTCCTTTAGCTTTATGCTGTGTGTTGGACACTGATGTTTTCAGTTCCCAGAGCAGCCTGACAGTGCCTCTTGTTTCAGCACCACAATGCTGATTGCTGATGATATGCCTGTGTTCAGCTTCCAGAATTACTGTAAGAATTTTCTGGCTTCTCTTCTTTTACTTACATTTCCATAGTTGAGTGATTGATATATTCTTTGCTGTATTAAGGCACTGAATAAGTAGCCAGAGATATTTTCTTGGGATTCTTTACATTTCTCTTCCTTTTCAAATACTCAGTTGGCAAATATTTCACATGACAGTTTCCAATACACATACCACATCCCAGCAGTCCTGTTTCCTCCTTTGCATACTTGTTGTGTTCGTTCTGAGCTGCTGCTTTTGTTCACTAGGAATAATTTTACATATGCAAACACACAGATAGATGGAAATATAGATAGAGCTTTTTTATTTGCAAGTCTCAGTGACATTCCAGCAGCATTCCCAGTGTTGTGGCTGGGGTTGGTTGGGGGTTGTTGATTGTTTGGTAATTCCACACTAAATGCTAAATTCACCTTTCCAAATTCCTACCTCCCAGCCTCAGGATGCCTTCCCTCCATTGTCTTGGGTGAGTCAGGCCACAGAATGAAACATGCCATCAGTTCTGCCAAAATTCCCTTTCCGGCCTTTGGGCCTTGCTGATAATAGTGGGATAGAATGGAGGCTTAATTTGCCCCTAGTTTGGATTTGGGGTGTGTAATTGGTTGTTTTTCTACTAATTTTTAATTTTTTTGGCAATATTTTTACCTTACAGCAAGCACAATATCTGTTCCTGTGGGGCAGCAAAAAGAGAACAAAGAACAAGAAGGGGAAAAAAAAAAAAAGGAAATGGCATCTGGCACTTGAAGGGGAGGAAGAATAAGGAGGAAAATTATTTGTCTGCAAATCCAAAGGGGGAGCACAGCCACTGTTGAGTTATGAATAAATCTCTATATTCAGTATACATTAGCAATCAATTGACCTTTCACAGAATCTGCAGCCCTGTAATCACTGCTGCTCCCTGTTCCCTGCCCTGCTCCTCTCTTGGATGTGTCCATCCTTCCCCTCCTCTTTTCTTACCCTACAAGATTAGATGCCATATGCTGGTTCATAGGGAAAGCCTTGTCCTTAAACCTCTGTCAGATCCCCAAGGCCAGCTTTTTTTTTTTTTTTTACCATGTGTCAGAAAATGGGATAACCCAGATTTTAGGAAATGATCTGTAAGAAATATTGAGAACAAACTCGTAATTACAATTGGCATTGTGGAATGTATTTGAGCCTTTCTAATAAAAAGGCTGCAGAGGTTAGGAAGCACTTCAGGCTGGTGAGTGAGGACACTGACACAGCAGCCATCAGGGCTGGAGAAACGTGTGGATGTGCCCAGAAAGATCAATGACTGTCGGAGTTCACAGGCACCAAATGGCTGTGATGGATTCCCGAGGATGAGTCTGTTGGAGAGAGGCTCAGTGGGAAATAGATAACAATAGGAACGCACTGAAGGGGAGAGCAGTGTCTGGAAGGAATCAAGGGATGTGAGAGCAGAGATGAAGCAGAAGCAGCTGGTCCGAAGCAGAGGGAGGGAGGAGGGAGGGCTGTGGCTCCGTTTTGTTCGCTGTTCCATTCATGTGATGTGGTTTGAACGGTGCTGGATGAAGCAGAGAAGCAGCAGTGCTCAGCCTGTCAAAGAAGGTCCATTCTCCTCTCTTTCTTAGGCTTTAATTCTTGCTGGATGTATTTCAGCTCTCACTTAATTGAAGCCTTCACTGAAGAGGTGTCAGTTCACCTGTAAATTAACTGATGAGCTGCGTGCTTGGCAGAGCAGCAAACCTCAGAGTGCAGCACACCTTGCTGGGAGCAGAGCAGCTGAGATTTGCCATCCTTTCTTCCTCCTCCAGAGCCTCAATTCCTTCTGCAGACTGCAGTGTGCGGCAGAGGCACCGAGCTGGCTGCCACCCAGCTGTGTGTGGCACTGTGGCAGCGTGGAAGCTCAGCACTTTGGAGGAATAGCCTGTCTGGAGGGAGCTGAGAGCTGGAGGCTGTTCCCAATATCAGGTTTTAAAGCTGGGCTGGAGCATTTGGTTCTCTGACTCTGCAGTGCTGTGGGTCATTATGTGAAAACCCCCTGTAATTTATGGAGTTTCTACCTTTAAAGTGATTTTTAGGAGCTGCTGTCTGCATGTGGACTCAGACAGCTCAGTGCATGTGCAGGATATACTACACAGCAGTGAGCTTTGTTGCTGAGGCCAACACAAGTGGGTGAACTCTTACAGCAGGAGTAACTTTCTTGTTTCAGTCCTTGCTGAATTCTGAGTTGCTCTAGAGTCCTTCAGATGACTGAGAAGTATTGGCTCTTCAGTATTGTTGGGAAAACCTTGCTACAAGCCTTGTATTGTTGCAGTTCCACTTTAGAAGGTGGTAAATGTCACCGTGGCCTTTGGATGGATCTGAATTTAATATTAGAAATCACTTTAATGGCTGTATTACAGAACTCCTGTTCAGCAAATGCTTTCACTTAGAGTGGCACTTAACAGTCGAGGAGCATTAGTTCTGACAGCTCTAATTTGCTAGGAAAAAATTGTAGTCTCCTCATGGATTTCAGTGGCAGAAAAATAAACAATAGCCCTAAGTTGAACTCAGGACAAGGTGCCTACACTGCACAACTGCTCTTCTGGCTAAAGAGACTGAATAAGGCTTACCTGGCTGTGATGTTTTTACATATTTCCTCAACTCCTAAAAGCTGCACATGTCCAATTCCTCAGTGTGGTTCGGGTGGACACAGTGGTGACTGTGCCCAAGTGTCTGTCACCTTGAGGGGCAAAGTATTTTCTGGATGCAGCTGCTTTTTACAGGTTTCTGTTGAGATCTAAACTTAAGACAGAGAAAGACACCATATGGAAACATAATCTGCTAGGAGAAATGTGCCCATTTAAGGTTTTTTGGTTGGTTAGGTTTCATGGGGGGTTATTTGGTTAGGTTTGATGGATTTGTTTAATTACTTACACTGTAGTTTTATTGTTCTCAGAGAGTAATTCATGACCAAGTTCCATAAAACCTGAAAAAAAGCAGTGCCTTAACTTTTCCAGGTGTCATTAATTTTGTTGCCATTGAGTTAAAGTGCTTCCTGGAGCCTCTTGCTTTATTTTTTTCAGTCCCATTTTGTTGATAAGGGTCACTTTCAGGCACATGCAATTAATCTTTGATTCATAAGTGTGGTTTGGAGCCTGACCTTGTGTGACAAGTAATGTGAGTGATAACTGCACGAGGAGTTCAGTTCTGTCTGAACCTCTGCTGGAACCAGAGATGTTTTCTATTTTGTATCTTCTCTGAAGCTCTGAACAACTTCCTAAAAAAGCTCCATGTCCATGAGCAGTGCAGAAATTTGACCCTCCCTGGCACTGGGCATATAAATCCTTGGCAACTTATCAGTAAACACTCCAGGGCAAAGTTCTGCTGGGTTTGTTGGCAGTGTGGTAGAGGAGGGAAAAGAAATTACTGAAAGGAAAAACTGGCCTTGATTTTAGTGAATATCTTTTTTAAACCCCATGGGTGTTATAACCCAGTAGAGTGCCCCAAGGTACTGGGGAACTGGAGTCATGTACCAGTGCTCTGTGTGCTGGATTTTGGGTGGAAAAGGTTTTTGTTTCCTCCTTTATAGCAGAATAGATTGGGCTGAGCCCTCAAGTGTTGGTTAGGTATGAGCTCAAAATATTTTTGAGCCTCATAGCCCAGAAGGATCATGAGTGGTCAGCAGGAGGACAAGAGGGCACAGACTCAAGCTCTGCCAGGGGAGGGTTAGGTTGGATATTAGGAAGAGATTTTTTTACAGAGAGAGTGCTCAGACATTGGAATGTGCTGCCCAGGGAGGTGGTGGATTCACCATCCCTGGAGGTTTTCAAGCTGAGACTGGATGTGGCACTTAGTGCCATGGTCTGGTAACCACAGTAGGGTTGGACTTGCTGATCTCGGAGGTCTTTTCCAACCCAGTTGGTTCTATGATTCTATAAAAATGCAGAACTAAGGCTAAGGGAGTGTGGCTTTGAAATGACTGAAAAAATAGAAGTTGGACTGTCTGGTCTCAATTCTCCATTTTTCTGTTGCTGTTTGTTTTTGATGGATCTGTTACTTGAATACAGATGTTTTCAAATACAACATTGACAGCTCAGTATCAAACAAACTTCCCAACTGCCATAGTTATAGGCTTAAAATACATCTCAGCTTATTTGGTGTTGCAGTTTGTGTTAAATGTGGAAAATGAGGGAACATCTGCAGTCTGTTGAGGAAAGGAAACACAGATATTTCTGAGCTCCATGTGCAGGAGTATAGGCTGGAAGGGAAACATCTCAGCTGTGAGAACTTACCTGTTGGCAAGAGTTCATTTTGTGAAAATTCTCTGCAGAGCTAAAAGGAGTTTGGTGCTGAATATCTTGTAGGAGCAGTGAACCTTCTGTTTGTTTCCTGCCTTAAAAATGAATGCAGTTGAATATAATCAACTCCATTAAATCAGGCCTGATTGTAATGTAGCAAGAAAACTATTTGTTTATGAAATTTTGGATGAAATTGCCATATAGTTGTCCATGTTTTTTATTTCTGATCTTTTAATAAAAAAATAGAAAAAAAAGACATGTCTGTATTGGAAATACTGACCTGACATTCCCTTTTTCTTTTGTCTTCTCAGTACTTTTCTGTATCTGAAGTTCCTGGTGGTGTGGGCACTAGTACTGTTGGCAGATTTTGTCCTGGAGTTCAGATTTGAGTACCTGTGGCCATTCTGGCTCTTCATCAGGAGTGTTTACGATTCCTTCAGATACCAGGGCTTGGTAAGTACTGCACAAATCACTGCCCCTTTGCAGGGAAATCAGCAAAGTCTCAGGGAATATTCCTTGTTATCCAACTAACCTACTGGCACTGATGAGCCTCTTCACAAGAGGAAGGATTTTCAAGGGACTGGGTGACCTGGGCTCAAGTCTTTTCTCTCTGACTGCACATTTTAGCTGTGGCAAGTGGAAGTGAAATACTTAGCTAGGAGGTTTTCACCTTAGGAAAATGTTGTTTAAATTCCTGAGTTGGGTTTGAATTAGTGAGAGATAATACAGATATATACACACACATATATAAAACCCTATATAACAGGGTTTTCTTCAAAATAAACCAGACATTTCTCCCTGTTTGGATATTTACTACTCTTCCAGACAGTAAGTGGCACTGCTGGTGGGTTGGGTGGGTGTATTTTTCCCAGAAGGAGAATATAGCTATGATTCTACTACGTATCAACAGTGGGAATTAAGGTCTCTGAACAAAATAATAAGGAATAAATGTGGCTGTCTGGAGTCTGGTTGAGAGAGTGGCTGGGCACAAATCCTCGAGTTAATGATTCTCTGATTCCACGTTGTGCTTGTTCTCTCTTAATTGCTTCATTTCTACTTTGATTGGCCAAACTGCTCCATTTCCTTGCCTTGATTATAAGCAACACTAATGTCTCAATGTTGAAATCATTGTGCCACCATTAATAAACTGGTTAAATTTACTAGAATAAACTCAAACACTCTTCTTTTCCCCCCACCCTTCCTCTCTTTTAGGCCTTTTCAGTATTTTTTGTTTGTGTAGCATTCACATCCAATATAATCTGTCTGCTCTTCATCCCAATCCAATGGCTGTTCTTTGCTGCCAGCACCTATGTTTGGGTACAGTATGTTTGGCACACAGGTAGGTCACTTCTCTTTTTTTTACCCCTTCCTAGTAAGCTTTTAGTAACACCCAGAAACCTCCTTTGGTTACCACATTTATCACAGTTGTGTTACAGATCAAAAAATGTTGGTTTGCTCTCATTCCTGAGTTGATTTGCACTTGATACCTATCTGGGGGCATCTTCAGTAATGAGTAACTGAAAAGGTGTAAAAAGGAATCCCAGAGCACTTAAAAAAATGCTTTCCTGACCTCAAACACTCCTGTAGGAACTCAGAAAATGCATGAAAAGTTTGTGAGATGGTGTCACCTTCTTCCTACTGCTCAATTAGTGTGTGTTCATTTGGGTATTAGAGTTGAGGTTTGTATTAGTCAAATCCTTGTGGCAGCTGGATTCAGTTTTTTTCAGGAATACAGCGACTGCCTTGACAGTTTGAGACATACAGGGAGAATTCTCCCCCTTTTCTGCCCTTTGAGGTTTTAGTAAACCCTTGGGTTTGGACAAAGAAATTGAACTGGGGGAGGTGGTTTAGTTTCCATGAGCACTGATACATGGATTGCATAGAGATTTTCCCCTCAATCAGAACACTTTAGCAATAAAACTTAATTCTGTATTTTAGAGGTAAGTTTTCACTCCCCAAATTCTTGAGATTTGGGGCTTTTTTAATCTTTGGTGTTAGATTTGCTGTCGGATGCCAAGGGTGTGCAGGGTAGGGTGGATCATTTCTCTGTGTACTGGTGAACACACTCATCTTCCTGACAAATTAGTCATTGCTAATAATGGCAGTGTGGGAGCTAATGGAAGATGCTGTGAACCAGTTGCTGCCCAATTTAACATACGTACAGAATCTGGAGTTATTTTTAGAGTTGTATTAATATGTGAAGTCGTTATCTGAAGTTGTTCTCAAGGTTGATGCTTAGAAACCCTGAAGGAAAATCCTGATGGGCCAGTTTGAACTGCAGCTCTTGAGCTTGTTTAGTATTTTCATTCATGGCAATTTTGAGAATTATTCTTCTTAAATACTCATTGAAATCAATGGGAACTTCCTCTTTATTTTTCCTGGGGTTTTTTTTTTGACATTATGACTTTTTAAAGTGGAATCTTTAGGTCCCTTCCAACCCAAACCATGCTTTGATTCTATGTGTACCTGACTGAAGTGCTGAGTCCCTTTTAAGCTGACAATTTCTCCCAGAGGTTTCTCAATTCAAGGGAGACCAAAGTAGAGACCACAGTAAATAATATCAGAGCCTCAAACTGATGCTCTGTTTAGTGTCAAAGTGGAGACTCATTTCCAAACCAACACATACAGTAATCAAGAACTTGGTTGATTTACAAGAACATGGAGTGACAGGACAAGGGGAAATGCTTCAAACTCAATTAGAGTAGGTTTAGATTGGATATTGGGAAGAAATTCCTCCCTGTGAGGTGCTGAGGCTCTGGCACAGGTTGCCCAGAGAAGCTGTGGCTGCTCCATCCCTGGGAGTGTTCCAGGCCAGGTTGGATGGGGCATCAGTAGTGTCCTAAATGTTCCCTGATGGAGTTTCGAGTTGCAGACTGGTGTCTGCATGACTGTATATGGAGTAACCAGCACTGGGCTTACTCACTGTTTTCTCAGCTGATTTGCTCACTGCTGCTACTAAGATATACCTAACTTGGAGAGAAAAAGTAGTCCAAGCTCACCACTTCTGACTCAAAGATCATAAGCTCTAACATTACCTCATCCTGTGCAGTTTCTTCCACTCGTGTTCCTTGTGCCAAGCTAGTTCATTAGCTGTGCATCTGTTATTTTTCACTGATGCCTTCGAAAAGTAATAAAACAAGATAAGGAGACTGAAGTTTACAGCTGGTTTAAAATAAAGATGGCCTAGATACTTTATTATGAACAAAATCTAACTTAAATTTCCCTATACATCTGTCTGAAAATTTCTCTTGACTTTTGGAATGTTTTAATAACAACTTCATAATATTTGCTGCTTAGAATATGTTCCTAAGGTGTTTCTCTCTTTCTCTTGTCCCCACAGAGAGGGGTGTGTGCCTACCAACAGTATCACTGTGGATACTTTTTGTTTATATTGAAGCAGCCATTAGGTTTAAAGATTTAAAAAACTTCCACGTAGACCTTTGTCGTCCATTTGCAGCACATTGGTAAGTGCTTCTTTTTTTTTTTTTCCTCTCCTGATTAACCTTTATCTCACCAGGGAAATTAATATTCAGGGCTTTTTATTTTGGCTCAGGGTTTGGCTGTTCAGTTTTCCCCTCACACATCTGTCATGGAATGTTCCACGAGAATTTATGTAAACATGAATCAAGTGCAACCTCTGTGTGGATACAAAGCTGTAGGGAATTTGTAGCGTGGATGTTCCAAGCATTTCTTGAAGGTTCTTGTCATCAGTGTACAAATCTTGTATTCACACAGTGAATAGATGGAGAAATAACCAAAAAAAAAATGGTTTTCCCTGATAATTTATGAAGTTATAATGGAAATCTTCTATTTTTCTGTGGCAAGGCACTCTTCTTTTTCCCCAAGAAGGGCTCTCAGGAGTGTCTGATTTAATAACTCACCAGAAGCAGTGAATAAGCTTCAGGTGGAAAATCATGATTAAAATTGAAAAACAAACACTACTTATTTCACCTCCTCTTTGGGAATGAGGAGAGTGACTACTGTGCTCAGCTCTGGGCCCCTCAGCTCAGGAGGGACATTGAGGTGCTGGAGCAGGTCCAGAGAAGAGCAACGAGGCTGGGGAAGGGACTGGAGCACAAGTGCCATGAGCAGAGGCTGAGGGAGTTGGGGGTGTTCAGCCTGGAGAAGAGGAGGCTCAGGGGAGACCTTAGCACCCTCTGCAACTCCCTGACAGGAGGTTGGAGTCAGGTGGGGGTTGGTCTCTTCTCCCAGGACAAGAGGGCACAGACTCAAGCTCTGCCAGGGCAGGTTTTAGGTTGGATATTAGGAAGAGATTTTTTCCAGAGAGAGTGCTCAGGCATTGGAATGTGCTGCCCAGGGAGGTGGTGGATTCACCATCCCTGGAGGTTTTCCAGCTGAGACTGGATGTGGCACTTAGTGCCATGGGCTAGTGACCATGGTAGGGTTGGACTCGATCTTGGCGGTCTTTTCCAACCTATGATTCTATGACTTCAGGCAAAGGCCTTAACTGTAGAGTATCTCTATCTAGAAGAAACACATTTTTTTTCCACAAGTTTTTGCTTTAGTGTTCATTGATCTACATTTAAAACGTGTCCTATTTTTTCTGGAATCATTTGGTCCAGCTCCCTATGATACAGTCTCCAACAAATTAGACATCTGTCATTTTAATTTATATTGTCTACATAGTGCAATAAATCCCTTAAACACCAATTAAAGTCTCTAATGGGTTACGAAAGCACTTTAGGAGCTGTGAAAAAAGGTCTTTCTGCTGCTGAATTGGATGCAAACATTTGGGGTTGTCGGCAGAGTTTGGGAGCTGCAGCCACAGCTGGTTTTACACAGCACTACAAAAGAGCCATTGGCAGAGACCTTGTCAGATGCACATGCAAATGATTCTGGCAGGAATACAGTTTGCACTGAGCGAAGAATGAGAAGATTTGAATGGTTAAGAGTCATCTGAGTTTTCCCCTGATCTAGGACACCTTCAGTGCTTAAAATGCAACTCTGACAGTGCTTTGTTAAAATTCCTGTCGGGGATGTATTTATTTTTGTGCAAGGCTGTTTGCTCACTTGTGTTAATAAACACTCCTTGTGATTTGTTAGCATTCTGGGCTGGTGCAGTTGTCACAAGCTAATAAAAAGACTTTAAATTCTCTGTGATGAAGCTGATATGCAAAAAACTGATTGCAAAGTTCTGTTACACTCCTGTCATCCTCATCAACAAATGGAACAGCTGAGTCTGGCTGGAAGTGAAATTCTTCATGACTTATCTGTCAGGGAGATAAGGAGAAGAACTAAGTTTAGAGATTAGATGTCTTTTGCTTACAGCTTCAAGGTCAGTCTCTCAATGAGGAACCTCCAAAGGCCATTGCTTGCCCACAAAAGATGTTTTGGTTGTGGCCTCCTCTCCAGAATCTAGTGATTATTGAGGTTTTGCCTCCGTGGTCACCTCTGGCTGTGCCAGGTGTGGTGATGGCACTTGGGCTCCAAGGGCTGATGGTTATTGAGGCTTTGCCTCCATGGTCACCTCTGGCTGTGCCAAGTGTGGGTGGTCACAGCCTCAGTCCCCCCAGGAATGTTGTAGCCCCAAAGTTGTATGTTCCAGCAGCTTCTCCAGCTCCTGTTTCTCAGCCTGGGCAGCAGTGAGAAGGTGTTTTGGGGCCTGTGGTAGAGGAGGGATTTTGGAGAACCATTGTTTTGTCTCAGCTTTAAAGAGTGGTGGAAGAAGGACCTGTTCTTAATTTCTGAGTGTGGAAGGGGCTGAGAATCAGTTTTTTCTTTCACTGTTGTGGGTGAATGTTGTTATTGCATCTCCCAGTTTGTTGTCTTGCACATTACATGGCCCTTTAGGAATAAAACTTGGGAGTTTCTGCTGTGTTTGGCTGTTCTTTCCTTAAAAGATGTGTAATTCCCAGTCTGGTGCTGGTCTCAAGGCTGTCCCTGCTATGCCTAGTGCAATTGCATTGTAATCCTTTAATCTATGCTACAGTTAATTGCTGTCTGTAATGAACTGTAATTTTATCTCAATAAAGAGGTTCCTCCATATCTGAACTGCAGCTCTGTGGCAGTACAGCACAAACCATTTTATGTATCATTTTCTGTGAAAAGTTGTGATCCAGATATAGTCACAGCTCCACAATTAATTCATGTGCTTTTGGGGTTAGAGTAATAATGCTGCTTTTTTTTTTTTTTCCCCCCTTAGCATTGGCTACCCTGTTGTGACTTTGGGCTTTGGCTTTAAAAGTTACGTCAGCTACAAAATGCGTTTAAGAAAGCAGAAAGAAGTGCAGAAGGAGAATGAGTTCTACATGCAGCTCCTGCAGCAAGCACTGCCCCCAGAGCAGCAGATGCTGCAAAGGCAAGAGAGGGAGGCAGAGGAAGGCAAGTTCCACTTATTACTTACTGTGTTTTCTATTTTCTGCTATTTAAAGCAAAAACAAACAGCAAACCTGCGAAGGAAGAGCTTCTCTAGCCCGTGTTGTTTTGATGAGAGTGCAGTGAACTTGCAAACAGAGGAGCCAGAAATAATTTTGGCAGTGGTTAATATGACAGGAGTAGGGAATTATGTCCTCTCTGCTTAGCTCTTTATTAGCAACTGCATCAATCTAGTCAATGTTCTATGAAGCACTAGTGTTTATTATTAAATCCCTTGGTTACTGTTTCCTGCCTGTAATGAGGCAAAAAGTCTTAAAATATCACATGACTTCAGATTTTCTTTTCTAGATAGGCCCCAATAACAATTGTTCTCTGCAGAAATGATTGATGTGCCCATAATGATTTTTCTTTCTGTGTCACGGTATTGATTGATTTAATGAACTAAGTATTTATGGGGTTTGTTTTTTTTCACTTTGGTATTGCAGCAGCCAAAGGATTATCCGACATGGATTCCTCAATACTCCTGCAGCACAATGGAGGCATTCCAGCCAATAAAAAATTATCTGCAACGTTGCCAGAGCTAGAATATAGAGAAAAAGGGAAAGAAAAGGACAAGGATGCGAAGAAACACAACCTTGGGATAAATAACAATATTTTGCAACCTGTAGACTCTAAAATACAAGAAATTGAATATATGGAAAACCATATCAATAGTAAAAGATTAAATAATGATCTTGTAGGAAGTACAGAAAACCTCTTAAAAGAGGACTCATGCACTGCCTCATCCAAAAATTACAAAAATGTCAGTGGAGTTGTGAACTCCTCCCCACGCAGTCACAGTGCAACCAACGGGAGCATCCCCTCCTCATCCTCCAAAAATGAGAAAAAACAGAAATGTGCCAGCAAGAGCCCGAGCACACACAAGGACTTAATGGAAAACTGTATTCCTAATAACCAGCTAAGCAAACCAGATGCACTGGTAAGGTAAGTTTGATCTGAGCGTTGTGTAACAGCTCTTTTATCCTCCCTTGGTCTCAGCACGGCACATTCCTTGTGTTCTGTCTTAGGAAAATGTGACTTGTGATCACATCAAGAAGACAGAGTTGTCTAGTGATGGAGTAAGATCCTTGGAAGCTGAGCCTTTTGGGTTCTGCTCCTGATTTTTGTTTGATACACAGCCTTGAGCAAATTGTTGCCTTCCTACCTCGGAGTCTGATGCTTCCCTACCTCACAGGGGTGTTGTGAGGCTCCAAACAGCTCTGACAGTCCTTTGATAGAAGGCAGGAGAGATGTGAAAAATCAGTGCATCTGTTCCTGGCAGCTCTTCCATGCAGTGACCTTTACATCCCCAGGGAATTCAGTGGGGTTGGATGGGGCCTGAACAGGTGTTTTGTCTTAGGTTTTTGGTTTGGTTTTCCTTTGAAATGTTTGGCTTTTGTGTGAATCCTCCTCCATTCAGCAGTGCAATGAGTCAGTCGTGGTGTAACTCCTTACAGACTCTTGCTCATGTACCTGCTGCATTATTGGTGTATGTACAGGTCACAGGGATTTTATTTAGCTGCATGAACATGGAGAAAGTCACATCTTCACATTTGCAGTTATGAGGTGCAGCTCAGCACATCAGTCCTGACACGTGGAGTGTTGTCAAATGTTACCAGAACAACTTGTGAGAAAGATGTAGTATGTCTGTTCACAGTGGGGATGGAGACATGTCTAGAACAAAACTGTTGCTCCATTATGCACTTTCCTGGCTTATGTGTCTCTTACTCCTTTTCTCATGTGCTGAACACTCTTTGGCCAACAGATCCTTAGGGGCCAACTTAATTGGCAGATCAGGTTTGTTTTCCCTGCAGGTACCTTTTGATAATTGGACTTTTGACTCTGCTCAGTCTCTGAGGATTTGTGCTATGGGAATACAATTACTTCAATGAAAATATTATTTTCTCCTTTGATAATCACTCTGCCACTGATTGACATACCCACTGCCAATTACATATCCAGACTAATTGATACCTAATGTCTGTAGAGAAGTTGTATGAAGCAAATAAGAAACCAGCTAATCAATCTAATCTGTGAATCAAATTCAGCCAAGATTAATGGGATGCAGATGGCTCTGCTTTCACATACAGGACTGTTGGGTTTGTCTGTTGCCTCTTTCATCTGAGCACCTTCTACTCTTTATATGGCTTGTTTGCTCACAGAAGAAAACAGGTCAGTGCAGCTTTGCTGCAGTTCAAAATATCATTCCAAAGCCCTGAGAAAAGAGAAGGGAAGTGATGTAAAGAATGAGCTGCCAGACTAAGAATTTCATCCCATGTAGCTAGGAAAAGGAAGGAGATTTAAACCTCTTCTGTTGTAGGCTTTAAATTGCACATGGAAATTTTTCTGTGCTGTGATGTGAGCTTAGACCAGATGGTCACTACTTGTCCAGAGTGAGTTTTCTAACACAGAAGTGACTATGCAACAAACTAGATCATATTCTTAGAGAATTCCTCTAGCTCCCTGGGTAAGGACAGAGTACACAGTTACTATACTCTGGCAGTGCCTTTGTGCAGCGTAGCCTTGCTCTGCCCTGAAAGTGAATTAAACAACTTCAGTCTTTTGTTTGTCAAGTGTTTCTGTGCTGCGTGGGTGTGATGTGGCTGTTGTGCTACAAATCTTTGTAGCTCATTGTGCGCTGCCTTCCCTGAGCAGCAGAGCCAGGAGCTGAGAACAGCAGCAGCCTCTGTTGCTGCTTACAAACAGGGATGACTGAAATAATTCATGAAATCTTGTTTCTATCCAGATTGGGTATGTAACTCCTACACCAATGGAAGCATAAACTTACCTGACAAATTGGATGGGATGGAATGCACTTAAATTTAAAAATTCATGTTGGGTTGTTGTTGTGGATTTTTTTTTTGCCTTGTCAGTTATCCTATCCCTGGAGTGTAAGGCACTTGTTTATCATCTTTTCCACTTCCAGTAGTATTACTCATTCCTGTTATTAAACTTTTAGTCTGCATCAATGCTGTACCCTGAAAAGGGCTGGGTGAAGTCCTGCATTTCTGTCTTGACTTTCAGATCAGATCTGCTCAGCTTCCAAATAAAGATGCTTTTTATAACTTCATGGCCAGCAGACTCGCAGCAGGATGTCAGGACCAAGCTGCTTTCCTTTTGTGTTCACAAATGACTTCCCTGACTAACCAGTATTCAATGTAAACTATGCCTCATGGCTGCTGGAAAGATTGGAGACAGGAAAGATTGGAGTTTTGGGGAGCAAGATGGGCTTGCAGCCTTGTTAACTTTTAGATACTCCGTGTGACATTTATCTCTGACAGGCTCTGCTAATTAAGTTTTATGTATATACAGCGTTGCTCTGATTGGAAGCTAAGTTTTTTTTTGTTTTGTCTGGTAGGAGCTAAGTGCCTGTATGTTTGGTTTTCTGGAGAGGAACTTACTGATCCCTCATCCCTGGGTATTTCAGTGACTATTATGTTGTGTTATTGTCATCTTGATAGCTGGAGCTGAGGGATTCAAGGGGCTCTGTCCCTGCTGATCAGCCTTCAAAGTAATCTCTTGGGTTTTCCTGTTCCTACAGTTGAAATGAATATCTCCTCCTGAGGGTTGCTGAGATCTGCTGTTTGTTTGTCAAGCACTTCATAATTGAATATCTGTGATCTGAGCTGCTTAAATCCCAAGCTGTGGTAATTGGGCCAGTGGAGGGATCCAGTGGAGGGATCAGCCTGGTCTCCTCCTGCACTCACTTGTTTGACAGTAGCTGCAGAGCAAGTCGACTTCTTTTTACTGTTTCCCTGTAATTTCTGAGGTGAAACAGGTTTTGTTCATGGCTCAGGGGCTCAAGGTATGGAACAAGTCCAAGCTGTAATTGCTGCAGTATTTATATTTTGCCTGTTGCATATTAACACAGCAAAAACCATGACCTGCCTCTGCTTTTTTGCACCCTTAAAACCTCCAAAAAACAAAACCTCCAAAAAACCCTACACCAAAACACACACACACACACACAAAACCTGGCAGTGCAGCTTGGCCAGGCTATCTGTACCCATAGAGGTCTTGCCTTTGGCACGTGAGGTGATGAAACAAGCTGTCTTGTGTACTAATTATTCGCAGAGATAACGATGACATCTTCTGGCAATTGGACTAAGAAAAATAATTGTGCACCAAGAGCTCATCTACCACATCTTATTTTGCTTTCCTAAAATGTTGTTACCTGCAGAGAGACACTTGAAGGTTTTAATGTAAATTTATGGCCATTTGATGCTAATTATTGTACATTTTCATGGCATCTTTGATGGCCAAAGAGTGAATTCTGCTTCTTCCTCATCCCCCCTGCCTGCAATGGCATTAATGTACCAGAAGGCTCTCTGCTGTCAGCTGCAGTGGGGGTGATGGTCAGGGTTTCCTGCAGTAGGAAAGGAATGAAGGCAAGTACAGAAGAGAAAAGCAAAATTAAATGGGAATGTAAATGAGAAATCTGGGAGACAATCCTTCTTGCAGCCCATTTTCAAGCCACTGTCAACAGAGTGCTTGGACTGTTCCTAAACAGAATAACCTTTTGAAATGCCAGCTGCTTAGATCAATGCTGTGCAGGAGGAAAAAATAAGTATCTTGGCTTTCTCTCTGTGGATTACTGTCTTTTTTGGTAATGAAAAATGCTCTGAGGAGCTGCTAGTAACAGCGTATTAGTTACAGCAGGAGAACCTCAATGCTGCAGGATCACATTGGCTACTTCAAAGCAGTAGGTTCACTGCAGGGGATGCTTGTGCCAGCAGATTGGGCCAGCACAGAACAAAGGGGGAAGTGGAGCTTTTGAAAAGCATCTGAGTGCCTTCTGGGGCCTGTAAAATTTTAATTTTTCTAGCAATCGCATTTAATTCGTGTACCAGTGCCAGGTGATGATGGGATGGAGTGAACTGAATGAATCCACTGAGCAACAAGGGTGTGTTACTCACCAGACACCAATTCTTAGGAGCATTAAGCTGAATTGAGTTGTCTTTATGTTGCTCCATCAATCTTCCCTGTGAAGCATTTGGAAAAATACAGTCTCAGAGGTGATTCCTGATTGATTCTCTTCATCAGAAACATCAGGAATGCTCTGAGGTAGTGCTGAGGGAAGGAAATGGCTTAAATCTGCATTTAGAGTAATGACAAACCCCCAGAATTGACCTCGATTGTATAAACAGCACAACCTCATAATCTGCACCTAAAGCCTCATTTTACAAACAGTTTGTGTGTCAGAATGACTTGTAGTTCATGCAGCAGTGGAGAAAAGCATCTTCTAGAACTCAGGTTTTCTTTACCACCCCCCACCACCCTCCTCCTTTGTAAATAACTTTTCCAATAAGCCTGGAAATAAGAGACTTAAGCAGAAAATGAAATTGTAGTAAGAATAACTGTAATTTGAAAAATGCTGCTTTATTGGGTCATTTATCATTGTAACAGCAGCGCAGACTGTTCCAGAGGGGAGGAGGGAAAGCTCCACACAGTGGTCTGTGCTTGCAGCAGTGCAGCTTTCTTTGGTGGCTTTGTATTGCTTTACCTTGGTGATGTGATTTCATTTTGGAAAGGGGCAACAAAGGCTGTTTTTAATGTCCTTGGATGAGACGTGGCCTCTCTGCTGGTGGTGACCTCTTTGTAGACAGAAGAGCTTTGCCATGCTGTGCCACAGGATGAAATTTTTAGGCTGATGATGCTAGAGTGAACTTTATCAGGTGGATCAGAATGTGGTTACAGAGCAGAGAATGTGAGAAGTACGTGTGGTTTGAGAGGAAACTAACTCTGTGTCTTTTATTTTCCTTTAATGAAGTTGTATCATAGAGAATTTAAGGGTTAGAATGATCTATAAGATCATCTAGTCCCAACCCCCTGCCCTGGGCAGGGACACCTCCCACCAGAGCAGGATGCTCAAGGCTTTAGCCAACCTGGCCTTGAACACTGCCAGGGATGGGGCAACCACAGCCTCCCTGGGCAACCTGGGACAGTGTCTCTCCACCCTCACAGTAAAAACCTTTTTTTCTTACATCTAACCTAGACTTTCCCTTCTTCAGTTTGAACCCATTGCCCCTTGTCCTATCACTGCAGCTCCTAACAAAGAGTCTCTCTTTGTATCTAATTGTGGCAGGGCTGGGAGAGAAACTATCTAGGAAACATTTGGTTCTTGCATTATGATGGATTATTATCTTCCTCACTCATCTGAGGTAGTGAGGAGCTTTCACTTGCTCTATAATTTGCAGCAAACGTCTGCTCTGGTATTTAAAGCTGTAGCAAAACCTACAGCATGATGAAAAGGAGTCATTAAAACCTGGTAAAACCTTACTTTAAAACCTAATGCTAAACAAGGGCATCAATAGATCAATTTCCAATGGTTTTATCTGGCATGGGCTTGAAAGAGATAAGTTTTCTCTGTATTAATTATCTTCTCCTTTTGAGTTGGTGTCTCATGAATGTGCAGCATTCCTGATTCTCACAAGTGAAGGGGCTGGAGCACAAGTGGCATGAGGAGAGGCTGAGGGAGCTGGAGGTGTTCAGCCTGGAGAAGAGGAGGCTCAGGGGAAACCTTATCACCCTCTGCAACTCCCTGACAGGAGGTTGGAGTCAGGTGGGGGTTGGTCTCTTCTCCCAGGACAAGAGGGCACAGACTCAAGCTCTGCCAGGGGAGGGTTAGATTGAATAGGAAGAGACTTTTTAGGGAGAGGGTGATCAGGCATTGGAATGTGCTGCCCAGGGAGATGGTGGATTCACCATCCCTGGAGGTTTTCAAGGTGAGACTGGATGTGGCACTTAGTGCCATGGTCTAGTAACCACGGGAGGGTTGGACTTGATGATCTTGGAGGTCTTTTCCAACCTGGTTGATTCTCTGATTCTACGTTAAATGACACAGCTCTGGGTGGACACTGTTGGCTGTGTGGATTGTGGCCTCATCTCTTTCCTTCTGGTTTGTAAAGTTGGCATCCTGTCTGCTCCCAGGAGTTTGTGCAGGCTTCAGCTTCCTTTCCAGCCCAGTCTGGAGCCCCATGGGCACAGCAGGTACAGAGCCCTTGCTGGAAGTGGCAGGAAGGCCACCAACCAGATGGTCTCAGGAGTCTGAACTCATGTCAGTGCTCTGCTGCCAAAAACACAAATTCAGCTTGTGCAGTGCCAGCACCTCTGATTTATTCAGGCTTTATCTGATCAGTGCTGCTTTTCCTGGAATACTAAATACCCAAAATAATTCCTGGTATAGCTTATTTGAGCAAGTTTGGCATAGTGTGAGGTATAGGGAAAAGGCTATTTAGAGCTGTCTTGTTTTCAGTTATCACTTCATTGTAGGCATGTCTATTGAAATTATTTGTGGTGACTTGTCAATGTAAAGTGGGATTTATTGCATTCCTTGTCCTGCCAACTGTTTTGTCACCTATTTATGACAACCTGTGTCAAACCCAAGCAGCTGTTGGCACACCACAGTCTGTGCGTGGTTCCTCCAGCTTCTCCCTCTCCTTAATTACACTTTGCTCTTCCTAAAACACTGAGTTATGGGAAGATGAACTCTTCAACCATTGCCCAACAGCTGTCCAGTCCATCACTTCATACTCTGAGCACTGTGACAATAGTCACCTCATCACATCTGCTGATGGGTTTCCATTCTGGGTTGTGTGCTGTGGTTACATGCTCCAATGAATATTGGGTTAGGTTTGCGAATTCTTTTTTCCTCACACAACTCAGGACGAGGTGATGAAATGATTTGTGGATTTCCATTTGAAATGTCTATTTGCTTTGTGCTATTACTATTTGACTACTAAGTATAAGGTGATTTTTTTATTTCTCTCCTTTGAAGGGTACATTTGACCATGGTTTATGTTATACTAAAAAGGAATTCATCTTGCCAGGAGAGCAGTTCAAGTAGAGCTAGAAATGGAGCTTAGTGCAGGAGTAGCAATTGAGCAGTGTGTTACAGACCAGCCACACTCCTTTCCAGGCTGTTTCTTGCTGTTAATTTACCCAGCAAACCTCTTTGGTGCTGTTTCAGCCTATTACAGACATACTTTTATGAATTTCCATAACTTTGATGGTTCCACACTTAACCTCTTGATTCATTTGCCCAGGATGTTCTCATGCCTCATACAGCTCTGTCTCTCAGTAGCCTTTTAGGCTGAGATTTTCCTGCACTGAAGCCCAAAAGTGTTTCATTATGAAGGCAAAAAGCTATAACCATTCATCTGCACTACTGAGTGTCAATAAGGGCAGATTTTTTTGTCTTTTGTGACTGTTCTTCTCAAGTTTTAATGTTCAGCTGCCACTAATTCTGTGTGGAATCCTAGGAAATAAAACCTTCTTTATGAACATTTAAAACCTTCCAGATCAATAACTGACAGAGCAAATGAGGATGATGTGTGAATGAGTGAGGCATATTTGCTTTAAATAGGTAACACAGTTAAAAAACAGTTGATTATTCACCTGTGATGTGTTTTTTGTTCTAAGAATCATTGCCTTATTTTGAAATGAGAGTGAGCTAAGTGCTTCTCTTTTGAACTTGTGTCATCCAGAGGGAGCTTGAGAGACCAAGGCAAACTTGCTAAGACCCTGGCTAACATCAGTGAAATGCATTCGTGTATGTTGTAGAAAAACATTTCCCCAACAGAAAGTAACTAGCTATTGACTACCTTCCATAGTGTCACAGTGCTCAAAACACCCTGGGCCAAGTCCCAGACCATGAGCTGCAGTGTGAGCTCAGCCCAGAAACCAACCCAGGCCTGGGCTGCATCCACAGCAGTGTGGGCAGCACGTCGGAAGAGGTGATTCTCTTGTGAGACCTCACCTGGAATACTGCACACAGTTCTGGTGTCCTCAACATAAGAAGGACATGGAACTGTTGGAGCAAGTCCAGAGGAGGCCACAAAGTTGATCAGAGCACTGGAGCATCTCCCCTATGAGGACAGGCTGAGGGAGTTGGGGCTGTTCAGCCTGGAGAAGAGAAGGTTGTGTGGAGACCTCAGAGCAACTTTTCAATCTCTGAAGGGCCTACAAGGAGCTGGAGAGGGACTCTGTGTTAGGAACTGCAGTGACAGGACAAGGGGTAATGGGTTCAAACTGAAGGGGGGAAAGTCTAGTTTGGATGTGAGATGAAAGTTTTTGCTCTAAGGGTGGTGAGACACTGGCCCAGGTTGCCCAGGGAGGCTGTGGCTGCCCCAACCCTGGTGGTGTTCAAGGCCAGACTGGATGAGCCTTGAGCAACCTGATCTAGTGAGGAGGTGTCTCTGCCCAGGGCAGGGAGTTGGGACTGGATGATCTGTAAGGTCCCTTCCACCCCCTGAATTCTGTGATTTAACCAGATTTTGTTGAAAGTGCTGTAATTAATAGGATTGCATGAATCTCCACAAACTTTCTAATGCTGCAGTTTCAGTGTGTAGCAGATGGTCTCTGTTCAGGAGCAATTAAAGCTGAATTTACTGACTCCTGAACTATGGATAACTTAACACATAGTCGTTGTTCAACAGGCACATCATGTGCTGCAAAAAAATACCAACATGTTTAGGTGAGAACTCAACAGTATGGTCCATTGCTCTGCTACAGCTACTAAATGCAACTCACAGTGTGTGGAGAAAAGCAAAATTTGTTCCCGTGTGGATCTGTCTTTGGTTAGAACCTCAAGGGAAAATGTGATTCTCTGGGATTTGTTTTACAACTTCACAGTGTATGGAGGAAAACCAAGCTCCTGTGGGAGGTTATGAAGTGTGTGTGGCTACACAAAGAGCTGTATGTGTTTAGTTACATAAACCATGATTATTTAGCAGAGAGACACATAATTTCCGAGCGCTGACGGTTTGCACCATGAAGGTTTGGGGGTTGGAAAGTGGTGGGATGTTTTCTCTGCTTGGTCTTCTAGAACCTGCTGGAACCTTTGGGTCTCTGGGAAATGAGGTTGAACTTGTCTCTCAACGTTGTGTCCCTTAGGTTGGAACAAGACATCAAAAAGCTAAAGGCTGACCTGCAGGCGAGCAGGCAGATCGAGCAGGAGCTGCGCAGTCAGATCAGCTCTCTGACCAACACGGAGCGTGGAATTCGCTCCGAGATCGGACAGCTCCGGCAGGAGAATGAGCTGCTGCAGAACAAGTATGTGCCACACAGCTCTCTGAGTCACTTGCTACTCTGGGAAGGGGGAAATATTATGTGAAGTCAACAAAAATTGAGTTGCATGTCTATAAGTCCCCCAAGACTCACGGGGGAATGTTGACAGCGATTTGGTTTAAGGGAGTCAAACCCTCAGTGCAATCCCATTACCTCTTGTCTTCCAGATTGCACAATGCTGTACAGATGAAACAAAAAGACAAACAAATGATCAGCCAGTTGGAGAAGAAGCTAAAGGCAGAGCAGGAGGCAAGAACCTTTGTAGAAAAACAATTAATGGAAGAAAAGAAGAGAAAGAAGTTGGAAGAAGCAACTGCTGCGCGTGCTGTGGCATTTGCTGCTGCTACAAGGTACTGGTTCTTTGGGGAGGCATTTTCACCCTTCTCTACACAAAGGAGTAGTATGTAGTTGAGTTTTAGTTGTGTTAAGAGGTTTATTTGTGCTAAGGCAGAGGGAGGACTGGGCTGAGTGCCTACATAAACTACATTTATGGATGTAAAAAATGAACATACTCTGAATTCTCTGCATTAAATTATCTGAAGTATCTGTGAATTACCTCAGTTGTGCTGACAGATGTTGTACCCTGCATGGGTCAGTCTGCTTTGAAAAAAGGAGCATCACCTTTCCCCTGTGAATCAAGAATTTCTGCAGTGACATTGGCCAAAATCCTGTCTTGATCCCAAATCTGGGGAGTTTTGTGCTGTTACCAATAGCTACCAGTGCTCTGCACAGTGGGTTTCAGTAGTCACACAGGTGTGTGGACTGGAGCACAGCACAAGTGTGGATAACTTTAATCTGCAATGCTCCAAATATCTAAAAAGAATTATTTCTGCTTTTCTTCATATATTTCATAAATATTCCGAATTTCCTAATGTTTGAGGTATAACTTTGTGCATTGTTGCCATGAGGGAAAAGAACAAAGTTGACTTCTTCTTTTCATCCTTCAATTTTTTAGATTAGTTTTCATGTTATAAACAGTTGAGGGATGACAGCTTCATTCTTATTTCATCTCCTTCTCTTTTCATGTGTGTTCTGCAGAGGAGAATGTACCGAAACTTTACGGAATCGCATCCGAGAGCTGGAGACAGAGTGCAAGAAGCTAACAATTGACATAAAGCTGAAAGAGGATCAGATACGAGAGCTAGAAATGAAAGTTCAGGTAATGAGAAAGCTCCAGGGGCTTAGATCAGCATCACAAGGAGAGCTTTCAGCCCTCCCAAATCCTTGGATCTGCATAAGAGGCAATCAGCACCTTCAAGAGTTGTGCTCTTCACATGTCTGTCGTGCATGTCTTGCACCTGAGCCTGGGTATGGGGAAGGTTAACAGTCTCAGCTCCACACCATTCAGGTGTTTGAATTAGAATTTCTCTCCACAAACCCAGTAGATTCTTCCCCTGGACCTGGCACTGAGGTCTCACCTTGAATCCTGTACTCAGTTCTGGGCCCCTCAGTTCAGGAGGGACATTGAGGGGCTGGAGCAGGTCCAGAGGAGAGCAACGAGGCTGGTGAAGGGACTGGAGCACAAGTGCCATGAGCAGAGGCTGAGGGACCTGGGGGTGTTCAGCCTGGAGAAGAGGAGGCTCAGGGGAGACCTTAGCACCCTCTGCAACTCCCTGACAGGAGGTTGGAGTCAGGTGGGGGTTGGTCTCTTCTCCCAGGACAAGAGGGCACAGACTCAAGCTCTGCCAGGGGAGGGGTAGGTTGGATATTAAGAAGAGCTTTTTTACAGAGAGAGTGCTCAGGCATTGGAATGTGCTGCCCAGGGAGGTGGTGGATTCACCATCCCTGGAGGTTTTCAAGCTGAGACTGGATGTGGCACTTAGTGCCATGGTCTGGTAACCACAGTAGGGTTGGACTTGATGATCTTGGAGCTCTTTTCCAGCCTGGTTGATTCTATGATTTCTATGAATGGTCTGTGTGGTCTGAGAACATAATCCCCTCAACATTTCTCACCTAATGCAAGGAGCTTGCTGCCAGTCTCTCAATATCAGTTTCCCTGTGAGCCATAAATATTGCTTAGTGCAGTCTGAAGCACTGGCCAGGCTTTATTTTTTGGTGGAAGGGTTGGAAGATTGGCAGACACGTAGCAGACACGTTGTCTGGCATGTTACAGCTTAAGAGCTCCAATGTGTGAGTTGCAGTTGACCTTATTCCTTTGAAATGTCTGTTCCTGAAGATGTACTTGGACTGTCAACTGACAATTTGCATGAATATGTATTTATAATGTCTCTTCAAAATCCACCTGGTGTTATTATGGGTTTGTTTCCAAATAACATATGCAGCTTTGTTCCTGGGTTTACCAAACCCTTGAAAACAAGGGTGGATTATCTGTGGAGAGGATGAACATTCCTTTCAAGTAATTAAAACCAGCTATAATCAAGCTTTTTAATTTTATTAGCATCTCCAAACTTGTACGAGAAGCTTTTTGTTACAGGCATTAGTATTTCCCCAGGGTGTTATTGTTTCTTCATGTAGAAGTGTAGAAATTTTTGGGGTATAGTATGGGTTTTTTTCCCAATCACAGGTTGCCTGTCCTTTGTGTGCAGGATACTTGCTCCCTTTTTTTTCTCTTTCCTTAATTTCTGAGCTTGCAGCACAGTTAGGTTCAATGTGAGAAGGATTCTGAGGAAAAGAAATCCTTCTCATCAGCCAATTCAAATAGATTCAAATGCTTATTTAGTGGCATTTTCAACTGTGTAGCCAGAGATCAGTTCCCATGAAAGGGTTGGAACACAAGTGCCATGAGGAGAGGCTGAGGGAACTGTGAGGACTCAGCCTGGAGAAAAGGAGGCTCAGGAGGAACCTTCAAGCTCTCTACAACTCCCTGACAGGAGGTTGGAGACAGGTGGGAATTGGGCTCTGCTCACAGGGAACAAGTGACAGGATAAGGGAAAACAGCCTCAGGTTGTGCCTGGAGAGGTTTAGGTTGGATATTAGGGAAATTTCTCCACTGGATGGGCTGTCAGCCCTGGCACAGGTTGCCCAGGACAGTGTGGAGTCACCATCCCTGGAAGTGTTGAAGAAACATGTGGATGTGGCACTTGGGGACACACCTTCATGATGAACCTGGTGGTGCTGCTGGGTTTGGCAGTTGGACTTGATGATCTTGGAGGTCTTTTCCAATCTTGATGCCAATGTGATTCCAGGCAGTTTGCCTGGGGAAGTGTCTCCACATCAGCTGGGAGTGCTGTGTGGCTGCTCAGCTGGCACTTGGCAGGGTTGAGGAGGATGTTTGGGTGGAGGGTCTTGCTGTGGATGATGGAGGGTTGAGCAGCAGAGCCAATGCTCCTTGCTCACCACACTCTAATTAGGCTTCATACATTATGGCTTTAATCACTTGTCTGATGGTCATGTGTAATTACTGGAGGTAATATTACAGTGTCCTTAATTAACCATCATTTTAATTTTACAGCATTAATACCAGGCCCAGTGGCATGCTGGGGGGGGGGAAGAGAAAAGACTTCTCAGCCTATCTCATGTGTAAAGTGGATGAGGATAACATTTGTCCTAATTATTCCTGCAGGAACTGCGGAAGTACAAGGAAAACGAGAAGGATACGGAGGTGTTAATGTCAGCACTTTCAGCCATGCAGGATAAAACACAGCACTTAGAGAACAGCCTGAGTGCAGAGACAAGGATCAAGCTGGATCTGTTCTCTGCATTAGGAGATGCAAAACGGCAGCTGGAGATTGCCCAAGGTAACAATGGAGAGGTTCACCCAACATGGAGCATGGAGAGAAACCATGGGAATGTCAGGGGTGGGATGTGGCTCCCACTCAGCATTTTGGCTCTCTGACAGCTTTGGGAGTCTAAGCCTAAGCCATGCAGCTGCCCTGACTCCCCCAAGCTATCAGACTGACCACCAGAAACACCCAGATGGGTGTTTGGTTAACTCATGGTTCTTTTCTACACTTTATAAACCATTCCACAAAGCTGAAAATCTTCCAGAGGGCTAAGAGAGCTCTTTAAGAGCTAAAAAAATAGCTAAATGTATTAATCTGCTGTCCTTGAATCTTAACAATAATATTTTAGGACTCCTGAGGTAAAAAAAACCTAAATTGGGACAACCCAACCTATCTCAAACCTCAGCCAGGTGAGAGGGGATGTGGGCACTGGTGTAGGAGCCACCAGAGGGAGCAGGAAACCAGCACAAACCCTGCCCAGTTCAGCCTTGGTGCAGCTGTGCAAACCACGGAGCAAAATTAAATCACCTTTGGATTTAGCACCAGTTTCATTTCCCTGCAGAAGTTTGTTTGATTGCAGGCAAATCTAATTAGAGGAAGAAATTGTTTTGTTTCGTTTCGTCAGTGTTTTTTCTTTCCCTTGTTTCCTAAATTGTTGTAGTGATGTGAGTGTGCACAGAGGAAGTTAGAGGAGTGGTGGGAATGGGGCAGTTCTAGAAACAAGTAGCATTTAATTTCATAAGGAAAAACTTGTGCTTTGGGGAGGAGCTTGGAAAATGGGGATGGAAAAGTGCAAAAAAACTGTTGAGCCATAGAAATCATCTCAGGGCCTGGTGGAGCTGTGAGTCCCAACAATGCACAGTTGTAATGGGAGTGTATGTTTAGTTAGGTGACACAGTAATTAGAGGTAATTAAGCACAGCTCCTCCCCACAAACCAGAAGCTATGCAGGTTGTGCTTGTACTGGTGTCAGGACAGAACTGAGTATCAACAGCTCAATCAGTGGAGGGGGAGAAGTTCTGCTGGTTCTAAGTGCTGGTAATGGGAGTGTATGTTTAGTTAGGTGACACAGTAATTAGAGGTAATTAAGCACAGCTCCTCCCCACAAACCAGAAGCTATGCAGGTTGTGCTTGTACTGGTGTCAGGACAGAACTGAGTATCAACAGCTCAATCAGTGGAGGGGGAAAAGTTCTACTGGTTCTAAGTGCTATTATTTGCTGTTTTCAGGGCAAATCATTCAGAAAGATCAGGAAATCAAGGACCTAAAACAGAAGATTGCAGAAGTTATGGCAGTAATGCCCAGCATAACATACACTGCAGCCACCAGCACTCTGAGTCCTGTTTCCCCACATTACTCTTCCAAATTTGTGGAGACCAGCCCTTCCGGACTCGATCCCAATGCCTCTGTTTATCAGCCCTTGAAGAAATGAATGCCAATTTTCTTTTTTGCCCAGTAATTTTGTCATGCTGAAGGCATCACCCAGGAGTGTCTCTTGCAGTCAAGATGAAATTGTATTGTGTGAGACTGTATTTGTTGTCATTTAAAACAGGATAAAAAGAACATCTGGATTGACTTAGAACTGCCCATCAGTTTTTCTTGTAAATTTTTAGAGAACCTCACAGAACTTTGCAATTTATTTTCCTTGGCCAACGCATTAAAAAAACAATTCTTGGTTTTCAAGTAGCCAATTTTGCCTTTTTATGTACTCTTGCATGGTTTCCTCTTGAAAAAAAAAAAAAAGAAAAAAACAAAAACCCACACAGAGCTTTGCTTGATGTTGAACCCTTTCTCAGACTTTTGTTTTGGAAAGAATCAAATGGAATTTGCAGGTTCATCCAAGAAAAAGTGAGGGAAAACCTTGAATTTTTCCAGGGAAAGGGTTAAACAATCCACCAAAGCTTTGGTTTCTAGATGTCTGAACTCCAAACCCGTGATGTTGCAGAAGATGATTTGATTTTTCCCTTCCAAGGACCAAACAAATTTCAGGGGTGTTGTTCAAGGGGCAGAGTAAAAGAATAGATGATGATGTGATGGTGGTTGTTGTGTGAAATATTTATATTCCCATTGGTGTTTTTAGTCATTGAGAATTGCTAACAGTCTCGTTCACAGTGCCTTGGGAAAAGACATTTCAAGAGGAAACTTGATAGTTTAAACTATTTTTCCCCCCCCTTCACTGTCATCTAGCTTATATATCAAGCTCATTACAGAGTCTACTGCAAATTGTACATGGTAATTTGGATGTTCATTATAAACCAAGGTTACATCTTCTGTTTAGTTGGAGAGAAACTCAGCAGTGTTCTGTAACTTGCCTTGATTAGAACTTGCATCGTGGAAGGCACAACCTGAATCCAGGAGTGTTTCTGTGAAGGTGGAGCTGTGCAATGTACTGTACACAAGAGACTGTAAAGCTGGCTAATAAAACCTGCAGTTCTGGGGTTTTTTTTTTATTTTATTTTATTTTCCTCAGCTGTGATTTACACTTTATAGCTCACCTCATGTTTGACAATTGAAGTGGAGCTGAATATTTTTCAGCTGTCGTGCCAAGGAGTTGTGTTTGGGGTTTTTTTTTCTTTTTTTTTTTTTTAATGAGTTTTAAAGGAAACTCAAATTGCACAAAGGTTTAAGTTAAAATGTATATTCTACATTGCTAGAAAGTGTTTGCACTGGCAACTTCTGAAGTGTTTCAGAGTTTAGCAGGGTGGGGGATTGGAGGGGTGGGAAGCAAAATTGTCTGGGAAACTAAGCAGGAAAACAAGCCCAACATGTTGGTTTTGCAAACATGCAGTGGATTCTGGAAGGACAAAGTTCTTCTGCCAAGAAAAGAGCTTTTCTTTTCAAATGATGATGTTCATTGGCATGTTTGCCTCATGGGGTGAAAAAAACCCAAAAAAACCTCAATCAAACCAAGGAGTAGGACACTCAAGTCAATATAGAACTCTTAAAGTTAAATCCTTTTTAATCAGATTTCCTTTGGGATAAAACTTCTAGCTTTAGCCAGGTGTGCATGTTGCTGTCATTTGCATTTTTGAATCCTCCTGTGTAATTGTCACCATGGAAGTGTTACTCAGAAATGTCATAGGTTTTTCATCTCTGTGCAGAACATGAAATATTGTCACTGCCTTTTTGTGTTGAGGTTCCCCAGTTTTGCTGCCAACTTGGGCACGATTTTTGTTCAATACTTGGTCTTGGCTGCATTCTTTTTTTTTTCTGTGGGGTTTACAAAGAATAAACATTTTCTTGCAGATACAAAAAGAAATAATTTTTTTTTTTTTGCCTTTTTTTTACTGACCTGCTTTAGAAGCATTAAAGAAACACATGCTGGTTCAAGAGCTCCCTGTGACTGCAGGTAAGTTTTCTCACTTCACTTCAGTGAGACAGAAGGAAGAACAGATGTTTTTTTTATGCTCATGTATAAACTTAGCATCTCACCCTGTCTGTGGGCTCTAAAAGCAAAAGGAAAAAAACAGGTAAATTTAAATTTCATGAGAGTTGCAGGATTCTGTCTGTAATTTGTCCTTTCCAGCTTTTCTCCTCTCAAGCCAAGAGAGATAATTTGGAGGTTTAAGCATTGCCCTTGTCTGGACAAAATGAAAGAGGAACTTGTCCCTGGGCTTCAGTCTCTCTCCCTGTTGGATTTTTTTTTTTGGGAGGGGAATCCTGCAGTTGTATTTGGTGTAAATGAGCTGCTTTTCCCTCTTGGCTTTGGCTCCTGCCACAGTTGTTCTCAGACTGCATTAGGCCTCCAGGTAAAATTCCTCAGGGTCCAAGAAATTCCACCCTCAGCTCTCCTGTGATCCTACTGCAGGCACAGGCAGAGCCTCCCACTTACCTGAGGACACTTTTTTTCTTCTCAAGGCACCACCAGTGTCAAAATACCTTACAGAGGAGTTGGCATCTGAAGAGCTCACACTGCTGAGCAGCAGGAGCTGCTTTCCCTAATCCCCTGCTCAGCTCAGAGGGAAACTTCCTTCAGGAAAGGTGAAAGTGTTTGCAGGCACCACTCTGCTCTGAGGACAAGTGGGGGGGAGTGGAAGGAGATGATAATTTAAGCATCTTATCCCAGCCAACCCCTGGATCTTTAAATATTTAACTGTCTGAAGTGGAAAATATCCTAATGACTCATCATAAACTGCAGTTGCAGGATGAATATGTGGGGGATTTAAGCACCTGAGGCTGCAGGAGGGTCTGACCTAGGCTGTTTTGGTTTTTTCCTACAGTCAGTTTGAAATATTCCTGTGGAATAAATAGTCTAGAGAGATCTCCCAAAGGAAAACTGAAGTATTCAGAATTTTTTCCAAGCAGCTAAGTCTAGGAAGAAAAGGTAACACATAAGGGTTTTGAGTACCTCTGGGTTGGTCCTCACTAAAAGTCTAAGGAGAGCACAAAGTGTGTAATCTTACTGTTAATATTTCACCAAAAACTCCTGTGATGGAAAGTCAGTTACAGAATTCATTATGTAATTCATTAGTAACTGAGCTAAGATGAACTTGCTTATGGTTTTTAGCCTATTTTGTGGGGATGGGTAGAAAAACATGTACTGAACTCAGTCTGGCTGCATCAATTAACTCCCAGAAGGTGAAAAAAATCTCTTGTTTGGACTGAAATGTCCTTTGTGGCCACTGGAAATGCACCTTCAGTGCAGAAAATCAGGTTAACTTCACCTCCCTCCACGTTGCTGTTTGCTCTGAAATGCCTAGGCAGAACAAACTGAGGTTTGTTTTTCCTTTTTTTCCTTGTTAAATCAGATTTGGGAGTTGTTTGCTTACCCCCACACTCCCTTAAGCACGTTGGAATGACACACTGCAGGAACTGCCTCCAAGACAAGTTTCTTAGGCCAAAAGAAATGTCTTTTGGCATTTCCTGCTGCTGCCATTCCCATGTCCAGGAGCTGCCTGCTCCAAAAACATACAAATATCATCAATAATCATGGAACAGATGGATTTTTTGCACTTTCAAGTAAAAATCTAATTCCTTCCAAGAGCTAGAAACACAAGTTTGATAAAAAATTCTCTGTTAAATTTAACCCTTTTCCAATAGTACCTGCTATGGGGAATGGAACTGCTCCCAAGAGAGTGGAAAGAGCCTAACCCTAAATCTGCACTTGCCCTCATCCCAACAGGTTTGTGTGGCACTGAGCTCCACTGTAGTGCAGAGAAGAGGAGGCTCAGGGGAGACCTTAGCACCCTCTGCAACTCCCTGACAGGAGGTTGGAGTCAGGTGGGGGTTGGTCTCTTCTCCCAGGACAAGAGGGCACAGACTCAAGCTCTGCCAGGGGAGGGTTAGGTTGGATATTAGGAAGAGATTTTTTCCAGAGAGAGTGCTCAGGCATTGGAATGTGCTGCCCAGGGAGGTGGTGGATTCACCATCCCTGGAGGTTTTCAAGCTGAGACTGGATGTGGCACTTAGTGCCATGGTCTGGTAACCACAGTAGGGTTGGACTTGATGATCTTGGAGGTCTTTTCCAACCTGGTTGACTCTATGAACTTGACCATCTAGAGCAGTAAGTTGCTGCTTTTTTAGGGGGTTTTGGGTTTTAATTTTTTTAAGCTCCAGTGAACACTCCCACAGGAGTTGGTGTGCAGTGGGAATGTGTTTCCTACTGGACACTTCCTTTCCTTGGGTTGCAGTTTGGAAGTCAAGGTGAGAAAGAAACCCTCATCATAGCTTATAAAAATGCAATCTGAGCTGCCACAGCATCTTAATTGAATCAGCTTCTGTGAGGCACTGAGAAGGTTGTGTGGAGACATCAGAGCAGCTTTTCAATATCTGAAGTGCCTACAAGGAGCCAGAGAGGGACTCTGTGTTAGGAACTGCAATGACAGGACAAGGGGCAATGGGTTCAAATTGAAGGAGGGAAAGTCTGGGTTTGATGTGAGGAAAAGGTTTTTTATTGTAAGGTTGGTGAGACACTGGCACAGATTGCCCAGGGAGGCTGTGGCTGCCCCAACCCTGGTGGTGTTCATTCCAGGCTGGATGAGCCTTGAGCAACCTGATCTAGTGAGGAGATGTCCCTGCCCAGGGCAGGGGTTGGGACTGGATGATCTGTAAGGTCCATTCCAACCCCTAAATCCTGTGATTCTCTGACCATTTGACTGGAGCAGGAAGAAGGGCAAAGATCCATTTCAATCAAGTCCAGCTGTAAGTGGCTCATTTACCTGCCATCTCTGAGTGGTGATTATGCCATTCTAGACCATGTTGTCAGGTTCAGATAACACTGGGCTTTATTGCTTGCCGTGAAAGTCTTTATATGTCTTGTATAATTAACAAGAAATTATCTCCCATCAAAATTTAGCTGCTCTGAACAATAATGGTTGGAGTCTAATAAAATGATAGTGACACTTAGGGAAAGTGAAGCCTGTTCTCTTTGCATTGCTGGAATCGTTCCAGGAATGCATTTTTGGTGGGGAAATGCAGTTTTTCTTTTTTTTTTTTTTATGTTCTACCCCAATTCCCTTTTCCTTTACCCAACCTTTCTGCACCACAGTTCCCTGATGCTAAACCACGTGTCAGCTCCAGGTGAATTTTCTCATCCTTTTGCTTTCAACCTATTC